GCCACTTATGTTAGCACCAGCCATGATTCCTGTAGCTGCAGGGAAGTAGACGGCAAATACTGAGAAGAAATCTTCACCACGGAAAGATGGCAAGAAATTTTCTATCAAGGTCGGGACTGAAAACAGTAACAAATTGTTATTGTTTTAATAATTTTATAGTACAATTTTGAGACTGTGAAAACCCTAATATATTTTAACTTCATTGATTTTAGAAATCGAAAAATTAAAACCTACGATTGTATCCTGTAGCTCCTCGTAATTCCATCTCTTCGTTTATCGGTAGGAAGGAGCCAATCATATAATCAATGATCGAAGCCACCAATATTACTAGTAAACCCATCTGCATTTTGGATTCGAATGCCGTTCCGATGAAAACGATACCCATCAGAACTATGCACGTCACTAAATATTATCACAATGAAGTTTGGGCAAGACTCTTCCCGAAGATGCCTCTTCTTGGGTGATGTTCGACATGTGCAAAGCGCAGACGTACCGAATCCAACTATCCGTACGTCCCACATGCCTGCATCAATGATCTTCATGCTCGCTTCCCTTAGGAGATCTCGTACAGTTTCAGCAAATCCAACAATGTACATAGCTGCACCCACTGCATTTGCTACAGAGAAGATCAAACCGATTGAACCACCGAATTCCGGTCCTAGTGAGCGAGATATCTGAAGTTTGGTCGGAAATTTGTCTCTCGCTGATTAAAGATTTACGAAAATCGGAACTGTTTTGCAGCTGAAACTGACCAAAAAGTAGGCTCCACCACCTTTCACATCACCGTTGGTGCAAATAGCACATGTCGAAATGGCAGTTATAGAGGTGACTAGTGATGCCAAAAGCACAATCATTGAACCAAGACCTAAAAAAGATGATCGCAAAATCAGATGGTACTCAAATTTCAGCAAGAAGGCAGGTCCCCCTGAAGGAGGAATTTTAAATGTTCCTCATTGACACTGGACCGAAAAGGGGTTGTGAGGCAACGACCAGAAAAGCTGTTAATCACAATAATGGTATCAATCCCGGCCCTGTTCGAAAATTCTGCGCCTAATAATCAACAGAAGTGACACCTTGTATCATTGTTTACCTTCTGAAGTCAGTGAAAAGCACAGTACCCATGCAGGATTTCGAGTAGGACTGAACACGCGGTGTATTTGACCGTGAAAAACGCTGACTACTTCATCATCTTTTGCAATTGTAGCTGTCAAAAACTCTCACTGCTGCGAATGAAGAAAAGGTGCTCAGCAGCTGGCACTGCTACCATGCTGCCTCGGCAACCGAGCTGTCAAGCTGACAGGTCTCCCCACCTAGGCAATGTTTCGCATGTTCGCCCCTTATCAACTAGATCCAAGTTCTACGCTGAACTGATGTATGTTGGTGACCAGTGACGCTTTATGACCAAGGAACAAAGACGCAAGGACATTTGGGTTCACTTTTCTAAGTGCTCATCAGTTATTGTTCGATGCTTGTCGCTGAACAATTTACCCATAGCAAGTACCCAGGTCTCGAAGAAGGCGATAATGGAGGATACTTCGAAAAATGCTCATCGCGAAAAATGCTTCAATCAGTTTATGAATAGTCAAGGCATTCCATGAATGCAGATTGTTTCCCGTAACAAAAATCTTCAGAGGCCAGGCTTCACGTATTCGATTCTAT